ATGAACAGGAAAGAGTGCTTCTATTTCGTGATTTCAGAAATTTAAATAGGCTATTGCCTTGGTTCTCCACTTAACCGAGGCAAAAACACCCTTACTACCTCGCTCAAAAGTGCAACCGAGGCGTAAACCCTCTAAAAAATGTTAAAAAAATGTTAATAACTATATGCCTCGGTTAACTACAAAACCAAAGCATAAACACATTATTGCCTCGGTTGGAAGACAACAGATGTCGTAGAGCCTGCGACAGAACGTCTTGAATCAAGGGTTGTCAGTGCATAGAACGTTCCAAATGTCATTTGTCAACCTCTACTGCCTCAGTTGGTCAGAGAACCGAGGTAGTAGCCCTAATTCAAAAAGGCGGTCAGGTGAAAAGTCCTGTTTGCAGGTGGGCAACAGGGTTTTCAGCCTCGGTTGTTCTCAGAACTGAGACAGTAGACATAATTCAAAAAGTCTGGTAGGTGAAAAGTCCCCTTTGCAAGTGGGCAGCAGGGTGTTCTGCCTCGGTTGTTCTTAGAACCGAGGCAATAGACCTAATTCAAACAGTCTAGCAGGTGAAAAGTCATTTTTGAAGGTTGGCAGTAGGGTTTTCTGCCTCGGTTGTTCTTAGAACCAAAGCAGTTACCCCTTTTAGGCATCGAGTCCTGAACAACCGAGGCATATACTTTCGCTAAAGCTGCCAAAATACCACCGTGCTTTGATACGCTTCGGTTTCAGTAAAACCGAGGCGTATATAGCGCGTTAGAAAATCTTTTTTTACTAGTGATAAGTACTCTATAACCTCAATTATCTAAACAACGAAGGTCATAGACCCCTTTAGACTTCAATTCTTTGTGAATTGAGACATATATGTTTGCGATAATTGCAAAAAGTCACTGCGTCATTCTATAATTTGGTTGATACGAAACCGATGTCAAATGCGCGAATTAAAATCCATAGTTTTGACTAGTGCCAAGACATGTATATGGAACACGAAATTAGATTTATGCGTTGTATGATAATTGGTAGCACAAAACCTAATAAACAACAAATTTCGTTATGATAAACATTTTTATTAGTTTCAATATTATTTTAAAAACCAAATTTTATATGTCGAACTTAATACTATATAATCTATATTTAAAGTAAGATTTAAGCTTATTTAAATACTATAAAGTTATCTTATCATTAATAATGAAATCTTCAACCAAAATTAAACATTTTGTAGAGTGTTTTTGTTATGGAAAATAAACACTCCAAGACACAAATACTAGTTGCAAGCTTTTACCAAGTTGTTATGATGTAACCTTTGGGACCTATAAACTTTGTAATAGTGTTTGTGACTCTTTTAACATGATGCTTTTCTTGTGCTAAATAAAAGTCTGATTAGATGCATCACTGAATGAACATTCGCATCTTCAATGTTTTTATTTATTTATAAGTTTTGGACTAGACTTTTTGTTGACCGTATTTATCAGTATTTTCACTAGTTAATTATGCGAATTTTTACAACATAATTTTGTGTATTTAGAATTTACCTAAAGTGTTTGGTATTTGCACTTGCATGTGTTTTTGTTCATGCATCTATAGGTAGTAGTAACAGATCATTAATGGACAAAAGGGAGTGCCTCGTGTCGGCCTATAGAGCATACCTTCAGTTGCAATAAAGTTTAGTTTCATGGCTCTAAAGAAAAACATGCGTCTCTCCTTCTTTTACATAGCTACCACTAGCTACAACTTCATAAAAAAGAAAATTAAGAATCTTCTAAGTACTTTGCATGATTTTCTACCTTTTGTTTATTTTAAATCGGTGTTGAAAGTATGAGACCGATTAGGGGAAATTTAATTTACACTATATAAATAAATAAATAAATGTACATCTAATTTTATAAAATTAAATTAAATTTTAAAATTCACAATTTAAATGGTATGGGTTAGAGTTTATTTTACTAAAATTATTTATTTATTAAATATATTATTTCATTCATTATCAAATTATCGTTAATATCTCATATTAATTAAAGTTAAGATTAATTTATAAATATGTGTAAATTTAATTTCATGAATCGATTTTAAAAAATTAATTTTAAAGTTTATATCTATACCGTATGGGCCGGACGACCGTACGGTTGTCTCACATTAATTGGATGAACAACTCTGAAAATTAGGAAATGACTTATCTATAGGATGCGGCTTAACCAAGCGACAAAGCCGGTCGAAAGAAAGTAAAGACGTCCGATTATAATCAGAAGACAGATTTGACTACAAGGTTTAAGGTAAATGATAATTAAGAGTATTGAGCTTAGATTGAACCACGATTAAGGCTATGCTAATGTCAAAGGTAAAAGGTAAGGGTTGACATTTATTACACATTTATTATTGTACTTAGATTACTGTACGGGCCTTTGACATCGGAGAATCTTTGACATGTACACCTCCAAACGACAAACAAGAGATTAGAGATTGAAGCAATGACCAAACCAAAACAGAAAAACATTGTATAGGATTTAGGTGACTCGACACCGTAACATAAACAATATCTTAATCATCCGTTAATGTTTAACTAATAAATATAGATAAAAGAAAAACAAACACTAAAAATAATGTGTTTATACATTAAAAAAAAGTTTTTTTAATAACCAATTTATGAACTAGAATTAAGTAATTGTGTCTGCGGGTCAAATCTTCCTAATACTTTACAAAAGTTGATTAAATGGAGAAGTATACCAAAAAAATTGTCTATTTAATAAGAAAAAGTTAATTATAATACTGCATTCCCTCCAAGTTTCGTATGAAACAAGACCCAAATCATTAATTGAACTATGATTATATAAATGACTGTACAAGAAACCATTATAAGAAATTCTGAAAGATGCCTTTTTTTTCACAATGATGAAAAAATAATATTTAAATGCATAGCATAATTCAATATATTTAAATCTCATGACTAACCCAATCATAGTGGCTTAACCCTAATCTAAATCAATCCAACTATGCAAATGCAAACTCTTGTTAATTTAGATTTTGGACATGAACCGGAAAAAACGGAGATCCAAGTCCGAAAACCATCGGAGTTTGAGATTTAAGAAACAAAAATGTATCCGGAGAAGGACACGTGTCAGTGGACAGGGTGTTATATTTGACTTCATTGTTTTTGTGAAATAGAAAAAGGAACATGGCACGTTGCTTAATAATGAGACAATTCGTACACTTACCTAAACTTTCAGGACGCCCCTTCTTCTCTTCAGCCACTCACATGCCAAAATTTGCTCTTAATTTTAATTATCAATTTCAATTTTACATTTATAAATGAATAAGCTATATTTCTATCAATAAAATATTTAAAAATATAGTTTATTTTAAATACTAAAATCAAACAGTATCATTTTAGAAATTCAACCATTATTACTATTCCATTCAAGTAAGACCCAAAATGAGACACTTCTATGAAAGAATATGACAAGCCAATTCTGTTATAAGAAAGAAATTCTTTAATCAAACATCATACTTTAACCAACTTGAATTTATTTTTCTTTCATTTTTATATTTTAACATTTTTTATTTATTGAACCAACTCAAGTATTCTCCATCCCAAACTAAACTATATTTAAAAGTATAATAATTTATTTAAAATTTTTTCACTAAAAATCTAACTTTGTTACTGTAAATTTTTTAATATTTTTTTTCATTTCTATAAATAAAAATATTAGCTCTTTCCAGAAAATAATTTCCTTTTCCTTCTTTTATCTTTTCCCAACAAAGGAAAGATTTCTACCTTAATAAAACTCATTCTTGATTCTCTCTTCTCTTCATATTTATTAGGATTTATTTTCATCTCATACTTTAACAAGCAACACATATTTGTGTGATTTTAATCCATGTATCTCTAATATTCATATTTAATTTTTATAAATTTTTAAATCGTAAAGTTTATATATATATTTTTTCTAAATTTGATCTAATAACGAACAAAATATGCAACAAAAATAATGGTTTTTTTATCAGTCATTATAAATATATATATATATATATATAATCTATAATTATTAATAAAGAAATTTTTGGTAAGATAATTTATTATATTAATTTATTAATTGTAAAAAACTATTTACTATAACTATTGTTTTTGCATTATAATATTATAAAAGTTAATAAAAAAAGACTTACTTTTATAATTTTTTATATTAAATAGAAACTTTTATTATAATAATTATTAAAAAGTCTACTTTTTAATTATACTTTTTATTATCGTAAAAAGTACTGTGTTTCCATGTTTAATTGCTCATTATCTTTTACACTAATGGAAGATCAATGGTATCGTGTAATTTTCTTATTTTAGAATTACAAATTCTTTAATTTATGGTTTATAATAAAAGTTAACATATATTTAATTAATTGTTCATAAACATTTTTGAAAACATCTGAGTTATAGAAAAAGAAAAGTAACATAATATTTTTTTAATCAGAAAAAATCAATAACATATTTTTAATACAGTATTTTTTAATTTGAGAAGGTTAAATTTTTGTCTTTTCTTATAGTTTTTTTTTTAAAAAAACATAAAAATGAAAAATATTCTTCACAATTAATACATAATTTATTTATTATTTTTTCAGTGGGTAAAAGAAATAGGACGTGATTATCCAAAAATAATTACTGAAAATATCATGTTATCTAAGCCTAATTTTTGTAATATGAAAAGTTAAATATGAATAATTAAAAAACATGAAATCGAAGTGGTTCATAAATTAGAAAACACAGATGAAATATATAGAGTTTGGGTTTGTGCATTGGTGCAGTCTAGTGTATTGATTGCATAAAGAGAAAGAGAGGAGAGCATGCCACGTGGAAAAAGAAGAAAGAGAGAGAGAAACAAAGTAGTTAATGGCAGTTAGAGCGGTGGTAAGTTGGTTACTCGTAGTTACTCCTTCCCCTGATTAACTTAACCCTGGTTAAGTATGAGTCTCTCCCTCTACCTTCTCTCTTTCTCTTCACATGTACGTGCCTTGCTATTTAAACCCCTCTTCCTCACCTCCTTCTCTGGCTCCACCCTTTTTCTCTCCTCCTCCCTCTCACAACGTTAACAACCAACACCAAGCTACAACAACAACAAGGAACAGTACTTTGTGTTGGGAGAATCTTCCAAACCCACGCAGAAGAGCAATGGAGTCATTGTCTCTCAGACTCTTCACTCTCACCGTTCTGCTTGCGGTGTTGTTTTCTGCTGCCTCCAACGCAGTCAATGAAAGTGAGATCACCAAACACAAGGCCACAGAATCAAGGTATCTCGGCCAAAGAAATGCTTCAAGCTTCTGCCTTCGTCCCTGCTTCAAATTCTATGAGTTTTATTTATTTACTTTTTGTTTTAGATTATTTGTTTTCTAGAGTCTGATTTCAGCAATGCTTTTCTCTCGGATTGAACAGGGATGTGGTTGAGGAAAAGAAGTTGCGTGGTCAGAGCTTGAAGAATTCGTCTATGGCAGAAAGGTTAGTATTTTGTTTACTGCTTCTACGATTTATTCACGTTGTGGTTCTAACAATCTGGCCTTCCACGTGGAATGGGGAAAATGAGAGCTGATGGATTTGGGCTAGCTGTGTTTTCAGCTCGGAAGTGAACCAATCTGAGCCGTGGATTAATTCTGTTAAGGAGTTTACTTGGTTATCGTTTAAGCGATGTCGTTTTAGTGTTCTGCGATTTGTGGAGTGTTGTTGATTTTTTATTGTTTGTTTTCAGTTTGGAGGATGCTTTGAATGAACATGCAATTGATAATCCAGAGGAGATTGCTTCTATGGTTGATGAGTAATATTTCTTTTTATTTCTCTTTCTCTTTTTCCTCTGTTTCTGTCTGTTAAGTCATTTTTATTTTATAAATTTTTGCTTTGTTTTCTAGTGATATTATTGGTTGCTTTATGTTCATCTCATTATAGGTCATGTGCTACGTAGATTACTTTAACTGTTTATAATTTTTTTATTTGCTTGGAGAAGAGGGCTCACATGATCATTTAACAGAATATAAGGATCAACAGAGAATCAGCATAGCAAACCCACTTGGCTTTAGTATTATTAATGTAGTAATAGTTATTGAGATGCAGGACCAAAGAAGGAAAATATATACACTTGATTACTTCTCGTGAATCCTACTGTTGGAATAATAATATTGGATAGTAACCTTTTCATTCTCTTTTGGCGAATTTTGCCTTTAAGAAAACTCTGTCAAAGGGGTTAATTTAGCCATGTTTTATATGAAAGCTACAAGCTATGTATATGTGTTCTTCTTTTGATAATTAAGAGGGTATCCCAACCACTTTCCGTTATTGAGCTTACCCCAACATCTACCCTGTTTATTACAGGGTTAAGATACAACCGATAAATATCCACATCACATCAAATACAAAGGGATTTAGAGCAAATTTCCTTGTTGGAACAAATATCACTTCTGCAAAACAAAATCTCCTGAAAAGTTCTAAACTAATAATTGATTGGGAAGGACCTACTCTCTTTTTGAAAGATTATATTAGAGTACTAATATTACGTGAACTGTATCAGAAGATAAATCTTTAATGCTCGAAATTGTCATCTGTAGGAAAACTTTTAGTCTATAGTTTTATCACACGATAGTTTAGAATCATGTGTAAAAAAAACGAGAAAAATAATGGTATTTGATTCCACGATTTGTGACCTTATTCTTTGATGCCTATCACACAGTGACGTATTTAGCAGGGTTGTTATTCCATTTGGTCACAGTGCCATTAGGTTTCAAAATTCTTTCTTTTTTTCACCATTAATAAATGTAGTCCATGCTTTAGTTACTTCTTCACGTTGTGAAGTATTGCCTTGCACGGTTCTAAGGAATCAACCACCATGTTCTATGCAGATGAGATCTCTTAAAAATTGAATCGTTTATATTCTATTTGCCAGCTTAACCACATGCCAGTGTCTCGAGATCCGACCATTTCATTGATGATAAGTTTTTTGTCTTTTTTTTATTTCCTTATCCTAAAATTTCCTTTCCAAGTACAAACACCTTGTTGTACCTCAGTCCAAGTTTTATGACTAATGACTTCAATAAGTCATAGAGTCTTGGTTTATACCTGTCATTTTCCTTCCTCTTCACATTTTTAGGCTAATGGTCCCCTTAATTGCTTCCCTAATCACATTCACCGGTAGCCAGTAGGTGAAATTTATTTCCTTCTTGATTCGGTAAACAAAAATATTTTAAATATATAACTAGCATAAATTAAATTCCTTTATTAATATCTAATACATGACCTATAGGAAAGTCTTCATACATACTGCATGGATATATAGTTTTAAACATGATGAAAATGAAAATAATCAAAATCATTAGAATCACTCTGCATTCTTCAATTGGTATGGATAAACTAATTGCATCATCCCTTCCACATGATGATTTGGTCCTACAAATCAGTAGATAAAAAGAATTCTTTGTGCATCATTGATTGCATTTGCCCTGTTTATATTTCTGGCAGTAGAACAAAATATACAAAGTTGAATTCAGAGTGTTGGGAACTTCTGCAGCTCCCATTCCTACATCTTCCAACAGGGTAGGGTAATGCACATGAATGATGTTCCTCACTCCAGCCTGTCTGCAAGAAATAGCTCCAAAATGCAGATCAGATCTGGTTCCACCGTAACACTTTCTAGTCATAGTTGTATTTTGGTTGATCCTGCACCTGCTGTCTGTCTGACACATTATGCTATTCAATGAGACCTCCATGAGATTATTAAATGACTGTCATTCAGGAACTTAATAATGACGCTTTTCGCCACCGACACCCTAAAGTACCAAGCAGAAACTAGATCTCCCCCCACCTTCACATTTATTTCTACCAGATCATTTATGCTTGATTCCAACCCCCGATTTTCCGTATGCACCGTATCATTCTATCCATGTAGACCCACATGACCGACCCACCACTCCTCCCACCATGCATAAACATCAATGTTAAATTCACTCCCACTTGCCTAGTAAACTGTTCATCATTAACTCATTTTAATTTTCAATTCATTCTTTCATCTCATCACGTGATGATACCCTATCATATCACTAAAATTATTTATCAACTGTAACTAACACTTTAGTTTTTTCCTCCAAATTCTTATCGTAACATGCTACAAATCTTATACAAGTGTTGCACTAGACACGAGTCATGTAACATAAGAGCCTATAGATGTACATAATTCTAAATATCCATATTCATCGTAATCAAATTGTCTGATGAAAATAACAAAAGAACAGGCTGTCATAGTCATAACTTTTTTTTTTTATTTCATCATACTTCTGCTCTCTTCTCTCTCTCTCTCTTTTTTTTATCATGTCATTTTATCAGTTTCTTTCTCTTCTTATTTCTCCTTTCATCAACCTCTATATTCCAAGTTTAGAAGAAATTCTTATTAACCTTTTTTGCATAATACATACTTAAGTAACATTAATTATTTTCATAGAATATAAACTTAAATAGTAGTTCAGACTACAAACAAGTACTGATCAATGCTTCTCTAATAATATTTTCGAATCTAGGAAGAAACGAATAATGCAAACTCCCAGCTAGAACTGACAAAAAAAGAACAGAATTATTGACAACGTACGTGTCTTTTTAATTAATTTACGTATGACTCAAAACAGGAGCATCCGCAATTCGACGGCTCGAAGGAATCTGAATTTCTTCTCATGCGGGACGGGGAACCCAATCGATGACTGCTGGCGGTGCGACAAGCGGTGGTACCTCCGGCGAAAGAAGCTCGCCAACTGCGGCATCGGCTTCGGCCGCAACGCGATCGGCGGGCGCGACGGCCGCTACTACGTGGTGACGAATCCGAACGACGACGACCCCGTGAACCCAAAACCGGGAACGCTCCGGCACGCCGTGATTCAGGACCAACCCCTGTGGATCGTGTTCAAGAGGGACATGGTGATCACACTGAAGCAGGAGCTGATAATGAACAGCTTCAAGACCATCGACGGGCGCGGCGTCAACGTCCACATCGCCTACGGCGCGTGCATAACCATCCAGTTCATCACCAACGTCATCATCCACGGCCTCCACATTCACGACTGCAAGCCAACGGGCAACGCCATGGTTCGCAGCTCCCCCTCCCACTACGGATGGAGAACGCTCGCTGACGGGGATGGCATCTCCATCTTTGGTTCAAGCCACATTTGGATCGACCATAACTCCCTCTCCAGTTGCTCTGATGGACTCGTCGACGCCATTATGGGCTCCACTGCCATTACCATCTCCAACAACTACTTCACCCACCACAACGAGGTATACCCCTAGTTAAGACAAACACCACATTCTCTTCTTTCTTTCATTTTTAATAATTTTTAATCAAACAAAAATAAATACTTAATGCTTGTCTTTTTCATGTTTCCTTTTAGTTCAAACACAGATCTTGCTAACCAGTGTTGGAAGATATCAGCGAAAATATTAAAAACAAAAAGAACTCTTTTTTATTAAAAATTACAAAAGACAATATTTTTATGTATCCTAGTAAAAAAAAAAAAAAACTCCTGTAAACCAAGCATTAAAATATTCGTGAATGTTAATTTCTTTTAAAATATACCAACCAATCAAATAGTAAAATTATTAAAAAAATTGTTAATATATCGTACTCCTTTCTTTTAATTGACTTTAAAATTCTACAGGTCATGCTTCTGGGTCACAGTGACTCTTATGTCCGCGACAAGCAGATGCAAGTGACCATTGCTTACAACCATTTTGGGGAGGGACTTATCCAAAGGATGCCCAGGTAACTAACATCTTTTAAGCAGGCAAGAGGTCAATTTTGTTTGACTTTTACTTTTAAATTTTGGCAACCAGTTACTGATCACCTTTTGATATTTGGCAATCTATAATTGAATGATTGAATAACTTTTTACCTTATCAAGATCACAAGTAAATTATACTTTGATTTTTCCTTTTGAGAGGTGTGGGGTCGGGTGTTTGCATCCTAGGGTCCTCCATTGACCCGCTTGCCTGATGTTTTCTGTTGGTCTCTCGGAAGCCCATCTAAGTTTATCAAGTTCTAATACTTGGCTCAACAAACAGTCCAAATTAAAAGTCCATTAATATTTACAACAGACCAATCAACGTTGGACCCTTGCGCTCCTACAATTTCCATTTCCATGCAATGACGTCGCACATATACTAACAATTTATATATGTTAATAAGGAATTGTTTATGGACAACGCAGGTGCAGACACGGGTATTTCCACGTGGTTAACAATGACTATACCCACTGGGAAATGTATGCAATTGGTGGCAGTGCTGATCCCACAATTAACAGCCAAGGCAACAGATACCTTGCTCCTTTGAACCCTTTTGCCAAAGAGGTAAAATGCTTACACATGCAATGTTGTTACCTGTGGAAAAATGTTGTTGATTATTGACTATGATGATGATGATAATGAAGTTTTTCATTAAAAATGGGAAATTGAATGTGAACAGGTAACAAAGAGAGTAGACACGGGTGCATCCGTATGGAAAAGTTGGAATTGGAGGTCTGAAGGAGACCTTTTGCTGAATGGAGCCTATTTCACCTCTTCGGGAGCAGGAGCTGCAGCGAGCTATGCTAGAGCCTCAAGTTTGGGGGCGAAATCATCTTCTTTGGTTGGTACCCTTACCTCTGGAGCTGGTGTTCTTGACTGTCGCAGGGGTAACATGTGTTAATATCAAACACACTACAACCAAAGGAAAACCCAATTGAAACACCCGAAGAATACCTAAAACATAAAAATGAGGCAGAGAAAAGCATAAAGTAAAAAGGAAGAAAGAAAAGTTTTCATTCTTTTTCCTCTTATTATTCCGTTGTTATAGATGTACTGATTGGTTTGCACATGCGGCAACTGTGATCGCAGCCGTTGTTTGTCTTCTGACTAGTTAGATATCTGGGGGGACACTGTACATTTTATGTGAACTGTTATCAAATTGATAACAGTGATTGCTTAAAAGGCACGAGAGATTTCCCTATAATTTTCCAAGGGAAACTAAGTCTATTCTCTCTTCCCCTTAGTTTCTTTCTGTCTTCCCATGTATCCTCTATTGTATCGTCTTACTACTTACTACACCTTCATTATGTCCGTCTCCTTCCTTTAGTTAACGCTTCATTTGTCCATAATGAAATGGGCAAAAAGGAAGGGAAGAGATAAAAAGGAATGTATTACTCAAATACTTGGTTCTCTATTTCTTTAAATCAGAATTTATCATCTTCTACTTATGCCTTTCTTATCTTCTTAATGCATTTCCTTTTCATATTATCTTTCATTCACCTACCTAGCAACTAGACTCAAAACGAAACATATAATGCTTTTTAAAAGTTTACTTTATTTCATTTATTGAAATAAATTCACAACAAATGTATTTCACTACAACATTCATAAAATGCACACGTTACTTAAAATAACCCAAAATATTATCATTCAATCGCTAACACCTAGTAAACACTATTAAAAGTAATACATGTTTTATAATTTTTTAATATTTACTCCGTTATGCTACAATAAATTTCTTTAATCAATAGCTAAAAGACATTTCTTTTAAGTGACACTTACTATTTATATTTATACTTCTTAATTTTATAATACGTTTTTTTTGTTTATATTTTTAAAGTATATTTATAAGTTAGGATCATGTAAAGTTAATTGAATTGAATTCATGTCCACTTATCATATCTAACCAAAACTAAGTTGAATCAAGGTTGAAGTTGCGATGTTAAGGATTTAAATAAATAAAATTTGAAATCTTTAATATTTTTGTTGATATTGATAAATTTCATTTATTTCGACTAATAATGATAAAAAAATCTTAAACCTTTTAAAAAAGATGTAATTATGAGCGAGAATTTTATATATATATATATATATATATATATATATATATATATATATATATATATATATATATATATATATATATATATATATATATATATATATATATATATATATATATTAATTCATTTTCATATTTTCTAATCTATTTACATTGGTTATATTTCTTTTTGCTTATTTTAATACAAATGATAAAATTGTTACACTCATATACATCTTCCTATATAGGAGAGCTCTATGCCATGATATAAATAATGTTTCCTGGTTTACAATGGAGTATAGATGCCTAGAATAATAATGACTTTCAAAGGAGAAAGTTCATCATTTCTAACATTTCGTGACAGATGAGCTACATTATCTCGGGTCCTATTGTTGTTTTTTCCACATTTCTTGCAATGAATGTTAATTCATTGTATATTATTCAACTTAAATAGTTTGCTTTTAGAGAATATGTAATGAATTAATAACCTTACTAGTAAATATGCGTACGGACGGATGAGGCCTCTTTTACAATAATAATAATATAAAATAAAAATATATAAAAATATTATGTAGTAACTAAACTGATACATAGAGCTTTCAAATTGGTGACAATCCCCGGGTCAACCTAGCCAACCACGGGTTTGAGCCGGGTTGGGTTTGAAAAATTGTATTTTATTTGTGGAGGTTAAATCTCAACCCGACTCATTTAAACCCGGCTCATGTGGATTGAACCCGTGGTGGGTCAGGTTGGCCCACCAACCTACCTAACTAATTTTATTTTATTAAAATTTAATTTTAATTTTAATTTTATAAAAAAATTATTTATTATTTTGGTTTTGCTTGAAAAAATTATTTAAGTTCCTTATTTTCAAAATTAATTAAACATCCACGTTGGGAGTGAAATTTGTTTAGATTTAAATTATAGAAAATTTATAATTTTTTTATTTAAAAAAATTGTAATTAAATGAGCCAGTGAGCCAACCCGTTTACCCACCAACCCGTGATGGATCGGGTCGGATTTGAATTTTTCTGGCTCGCTAATAAATGAGCCGGGTTGGATTGGCTCACTATGTGACCAACCCGTGGTGGGCCGAACCGGGTCGGGCCGGATGACCCGTTTTGACAGCTCAATATATATTTTATTAAAACAACAAGTTTACAAAAGAAATTAAATTAAATTATTAAAAAATATATAGAAGGCTTACATCTTACAAGTTAATTTAGTAGGCATGCAAATAAGCATTTAAAATATTTATACGTTATTAATTTACCAAAATATATAGTGAAATTAATAATGAAGAAATATTTAAAAAAGTATTACATATACCATCTAATTTTTAACACCTTTTAAAATATTTTCCTTACAACAAAATGTTAAAGAGATATACAATGAATTGACATGAGTAATCGTTATGATAATTATGAAAAGTGTTAAGAGTAATTGTCCTTTAGAAGTCAGAATATTGTCATAAGTGTCTACGTTCCACCATAGATAGAAATACGTGATTTGTATCTTATATGGTAAACAGTGAAGTCATTTATGTACAAATGTGAGAACTTTTATCATTGATAAAAGAAATAGGTTTAATTCCTATTTTGGTCCCACTTTTCGTAGGGTCTGTTCAAATTGGTCCTACTTTTTTTCAAAAGTTCACTAAGATCCCACTTTTCGCAAAAACGGTGCAAGTTAGTCCTTTTTGGTTACGGCGTTAAAAAGACTAACGGCACAGCTGCCCAGCTGGCAGAAAACTGATGAGCTGTACATTTTTTGTTGACGTGGCACTGTGATATGTTAAATTAATTAATTTAAATTAATTTAAAAGATAGGGTTAAAAAAATTTGACAATTACATTTGGGGTAAAATCTGCATGCGATTTAGGGTTCCAGAATCTCGTTTCGAAGAGTGCAACTTCTGATTTTTGGTGAAATCAAATTTCAGGTTAGTGATCGCATTACTGTTCTTATGTTTTTGCTTTTTCTTTAATGGGTGGATTCTATATTTGTTGTGTTTAAAATATGGTTATATTTGTGGCATGGTGGGGGGTTAATGGAAAAAGTACTGTCGTTGGGTGTTGGAATTGGTCCCATGGTCTGTTAAATTAAGTTAATGAGTGGTCCCCCTTTTCCATTTGCAGTGTAGGGATGTCTAACGATAATTTTGAGGTAGTGGTCCACCACGCACCACGGTGGGACTTTTGATACAGGAAGTGCCCTTTTAAATATATAGGTGGGGAAAGTGTTATTGGGACTTGACCCCGATACATGGAGCATTGTGGAGTAGTAGGTTCCTATGGAATTTGGGGTATATTGAAGTACATGAGTATATACGATATGACCAGTTTTATATAAGCTATATGACGATAAAGGTGGCTTGAACATGCGGAATGTGGGAAAAATTGTTTGGGAAAAGTCAATTGTAGTTGTACCTAAGTGAGCGAAAGCAGGTGTTGAGAAAATGAGGATGAAATTCTTTACCTTTGCCAAGGGCCTGCAGACAGTGGTGAGGGTAGTGGTGTTGAGGTTGGTGTACAAGGTGTTGTTGAAGTGCAACAGGAGGTTGAGGAAGGTCCTCTTAGCTGTGGTGGTGACTTGGAGAAAGATGATGGAGTGCACAAGGAGGAGGAAGTGGAAATGCACAGTGAGGAAGAACTGGAAGTGGACAGTGAGGAAGAAGTGGAAGTGGATACTGAGAAGGATGAAGCACTGTTTCTGTTGAAGAGAACTTGGAGGAGGTAGGAATTGGGAAAATAGTGATTCGGAAATACATGCAGGAAGACAGTGATAATGAAGCAGAAGGGCAATGGTAAGGGGGTTGTCAGATGATGATGGAGTCAGATGGGCTGTTAACTCCAGATAATAGTGCAGTGAGGAGGATGAAAGTGAGGACAGGACCAAGAGAGGTCCCTTTCCTACATTTGGTCAAAAAGGAAGTCAAGTCAGATTACAAATGGAACTGGTACTATCTTTACAGTAAGGATGAGTTTAAGGAAGCCATTAGAAGTTATGCTATTCAGCGTGGGAGGGCTTCTTAAGTTTGTAAAAAATGATAAGCGAGGGTAGGGTGAGGAGGCATGGTGGAAAAAAAAACTGTCCAGGGTAGCTTTACTGTGGGTATTTGCCATCACGCAAGGATTTTGGCCATTAAGGAAGATTGTGGATGTTCATTCTTGCAGCAAGGCAACGGAACATACAATTGATGAATAGTAGTGGTTGAGGATGAAAATAGATAAGTCTATGAATGACCAATCCTCGTATACAGGTCCCAAGACATACGTACCAAAGCATTAAGGAAATGGAACACCAATGTATCAATTTCTAAAGCAAGAAGGGCGAAGTTAATGGCATCAAGTCAACGTGAAGGGGATTTTAAAGAACAATTTAGAAGGATTTATGACTATGCACATGAGGTATTGAGAAGTAACCCTGGGTCAACGGTTAAGGTTAAAGTCAACAGTGATAATGGTCAGTCCATATTCCAGAGATGTTATGTGTCTTAAAGCATGTAAGGATAGTTGTATTAGTTGTAGACCCATCATCGGTTTAGATGGGGGTTTTTTGAAGGTCTTTATGAAGGGGAGAGCTGCGTACTGATGGTGGGAGGGATCCAAATGGCAAATGTTAACCTTGAATATGCAGTAGTTGAAGGTCGAAAATAAAGATAGTTGGTCCTGGTTTTTGCAATTATTGGTTGAAGACCTTGGGGCAATGAAGTTTGTGAGGCATATAAGTGGATGTCTGACCAGCAAAAGGTACAGGCAGTACTTTATTATTTGATTTTGCAAACTTTATTATGACAAGTGGTTTGATTAACTATTGATGTTGGAAGGGGGGTTGGTGCCCAGTATCCAAGAGCTTTTGCCTAGGGCAGAACAAAGATTCTGCATCAGGCCACCTTTATGCTATTTAGGAAAAAGAATTTTATTTTTTTTTTTTTCTTTCAGGATATT